AGCTGCGGCGGGCTTGCCTGCACTCCGTGCTGCGGTAAACGAAAGATGCGTGGTGCTGCGGGAAAACTTCGGCAGCGTATTTTGACTGAAAATATTACAAATGATCATTATTATGTCGTGATGCCGCTGCTCTATCACTGCCATTGCTAATATGAGACAAGACTGTCCTGAGGTTTCACAAGGGTATATTTTTGATGCATGCTGCAAAGGTGGGACATAAGCGCTCAGGGGAAGAACCATACCGTTCATCAGCGGACCCGTCATCTAGCGGTCAGCCAGAGCACTGCAGCTTTCAAGCTTCCACACAGATGACCTATGTTCTCGCTGGCGTCGGCGCGAGTAACGTCATACCAATGTCCATGCAGGATTGTCAGACATGCCAGGACAAGCTGTATAGAGGACCTCTTAGAAGAATAAGAAAATCGTCGAGCAGTTCTAAATCTATGTAAAACTGTTCGGAAAATCCCACGTCACCTTAGCTTAACATTGACGTAACATGCTCGATGGTACAACATATCAGTGCGAACTAGTAGACAGTGGGGTTTCACAGGGGACGGTGTTGGGCCCTTTGCTTTTTATTGCTTTTTGTAAATGGTATTGAGATAGGATTAGGGAGAAAGGTGCTAGAATTTGCTGACGATATCAAATTGGTAGGGCTTTCAAAAAATCAACTTGCGTTAAATTAACTAGTGAACTAGGCTTTTCTGCAGCAAATGTCATTGTATTATGATAAATGCAAGGTGATGTATGTGGGTAGTTTTAGCAGTGAGGGCATTACCTATGAAATGGGAGGCCGGGAGTTTGGCCAGATTAAGGAAAAAAAGGACCTAGGGGTTGCTATTTCTATGCATTCAAAGGGTGAAAAGTAATGCGGAGATGCTATGAGCAAGGCACTTTGGATGCTGGGATTATAGAGAAGAATGTTTATTATAAGAGTAGGAATGTGATCAAAAGTTTGTACTTAGCTTATGTGAGACCACATCTAGAGTGCTGTGTTCAAGCTTGGTCCCCGTGCTTCCAACAATATGAGGATAGACTGGAAAGAGTGCAGGGAAAAGGAGTTAGAATGATAAATGGGATTGACGACTTAGAAACTTAGAATCTAAGGATAGGCTTAGGGTCTTGGACTTGTATTCATTGAAGTATCGTATGCTTATAGGGGATCTGGTATAGCAGATTATGATATGAAGATAATGAAATGGATAGGCCAGGTAGATCTACATGGAGCACTGGAAATCAGACCGAGACATAGGTGGAATTAATTTTATGTAGCGAGAGGTAGGAGTACAGTTGTGAAGAGGCAGATGTCATTCAGTCAAAGAGGCGTGAGCCATTAGAATGGGCTGACAAACGAAGTTGTACAAAGTCCCTCTGAAGCAACATTTAAAAACCGTTTGGACAAGTTCCATGGGTCAAAAGATCTCATTTATAGCTAAATATATGCTGGTCAGGGGATTTGTTTCGAGGATGTGTACAAAACCTGAGGTAGGCCAACCTGGGTGGGCCCCTGCGGCTCTTTTTTGGCCGGATATACTCATGTCTTGGACATATTCATGTCATGTGTTTGCTGGGGATTTCAACATCTCTTTCGTGAAAGCTTGTCAAAACGCCAGAGATTGCTGCCTCAAATAGCCGCCACGTATGACATGCTTGTGGCCAACGATGCTCATCCCACCTGTCGCCCAGCGATCTCTGCTAGATGTGATCAGCACCAGTCGTCCCGATCTCGGGCGCAGGGCCCTAGTGACGCGGTGCCATTACGGCGGCGCCACGATTTCACGTGCATCAGCATGCGTCTCGATAGCCAGGGGGCATCCACTTATTCTCATACTCTACGTCGCTGCATTGGCCAAGTTCATACGTTCATACGGGCGCCTTTAACCAGCAGCTGCCCGAGACTGATTGGATGCCAGCTTTATATGCTGATGCCTGCTGACCTGAAATGACACGCATTCCAGCGAACATTTCTGTAACAGTAAGGCATGGTAGCCTGGCTCCGACGCACGTGTGCCATGTGTGTACGACGCATGTGACAACGCACAACCCAGCCTGTGACCACAAATATCCAGCGGCTGCTGCGGCGCCACCGCGCGGCTCTGGTGGCAGACCATCGCCCATGGTGTAAGCCGACTGTCCCATTACGGCATCAGGTTTTTCGGTCGCCGCTATAAGTGTGCCAATTAATGCTGGTGAGTCGTGCGCAGCGGCGTTTTTCGAAGCTACGACGTCAAATTTAAAATAGTTCTTGGCGTGCGCAACGGGTACGACCACATGCAGTCGATGTCGTTGTGATAACTCCAGCCGCCGGTAAGGTAAGTCGCTGATCGGCTGGCGTTACCTAGTTTGTTCTTATCAGCCCCTTACCGCGCATTACTGAGTGCAGCTGACCGGACCGTAGTGTCATGGCCAGCATACGACGGCACCGAAGCAATACCCATAATCAAGAGCGATAAGTGCGAGCGCGCTTAATCAAAAGCACTACTTTTGACTATTGCCTGGCACTGCTACACACTAGTGCAATGAAGACATCCTATTTATTCGGCTGACTCCCAGAAAGACCACCACTCAATTCTGCCCGTCCGGCCGCAGCGACAACACGAAAAAGTAGTGCAGCCAGCATAAAACTCATGCTCGGGTGCAGCGGGCGTGACTGGTTGCACATAATATCATCGTGACCGGCAATATGAATTGGTCATCCGCAGACATCTCGCTAGTTGTTCGTACGACCCCTGAGTACAAAGTACTAACGGTAGCCGGCCGGGCCGCAACGTGATGGCCAGCATACGGTTACTCACCAACAATACTGATGATCGCGCCCGAAGGCTACCACTGTGTGTCCTCAATAGCACTGCTTTTGGGATATCAGCAGGTGCTGTGACACGATGGTCCAATCAAGGCATTTATTTCGGTCGGTTGACCTCCTGATGACCCATTACTCGGTACTGACGGTCTGACCGCAGCGGCAATTGGCAATGTCACGGCGGCAAATAAACAAAATAGTGTCGTACTTGGCGGATGGGACCGTGTCCACACGACATTGTTGTACCAGATGTACATCGATCATTGCTCGACACCACCTTTTTTTTCTTCACATGACCCCCTGACGGTTCATTAATAAATGTGGCTAGCCGACGGGCAGGGTGTTGTCCGTGTATGGTACGGCAGCACGGGACAAAGTCACACATTTGCACGCGAAGAGCGCGACCATATGCACTCGATAGCGCTGCTGTAGGACCACCGGTTGGAGTGAAGGAATCCACGTGATTTGGTTGAGCCCCTAAAAGCGCATCACTCAATAGTAGTAGGCCGTCCGCCGAGGCAATTTACAAAGTAGTACTGAAGCCAATTAAAGGTGCTATCGTGCGTGTCCGCTTTACTTGTGCTTAGAGATGATGACCTAACATGATACATCCTAAATTGCCTAATTTGGCGTCATGTGAAGACTTAGGTCTTTGGAATTGCGTCCGTAGCGGAAGGTACTCTTGCTGACCTTGTTTCTTTTTGTGACTCATTTTTCAAAAGACCATGAGAAATGAAAATCATACTTCACTTGCCACTGCTTCCAGACAACGGCAAAAATTGTCAAATATTGTTGCTTTTAAAGTAATCGGTACTGCGTAACGCATCTACAACGTTACCCTAAATTACTGTATATCTACCTGAATCAAGTCCCACCTATCGTAAGACGTTGTTAGTGCTCCACTGATGGGCGCGCACGATTATGGGATTTTAAAGATATCTCTTTTCTATCCAAAACGAAGTGCCATACGTGGAACTACATTGTGCCTTTTTGAGTTGACGGGGCACGTGAGGTATCTAGTCAAAATATTTCAGATCTACGTCTAGGAATGTTGATTCCTTTTTCCTCTCCTCCCGTCGTTATAATGTACTAAATGTTGTAATGACGAACATGTCTCCCGTTGTGAGCACGCCCAGCCGGCCCGGCGACACAGCATGCCGTCCCTGCCGTGTCGCGGCGCGGCCTCGGCCGCGCGGTGGAATGCGACCTACCACCGCGGGCGCTGACCGCCGTCCCGTGGCGGACCGTGCGGGACGCGTGATAGGTGTGCGCGTGCTAGCCCAGTGTAAGCTGACTTATGAGTGGTTGTTCACCCTAACTGAATGTAATGTCGTGCCTGCCTGGGATAGCAGGGGCAGGAAGCCACTGGACTCGGTCCAATATAGATCGCCGCGTCGCTATACGTCTCTCTCTGACCGAGGGTGTCTGTAGTACCGTCTGCGTTAACCACTACGCATCTGGGAGACCAGGGGTACAGGGTTTGATTCCCCGCGGTGTCCGCCCTTCCTGCCATGGTGAGAGGCAGGCGACGCCATAAAGCCTCAGCAGCTGAGTGCGTCGTAAACCCCCAACAACACACACTCTCTCTGACCAAGCTGAGCTGAACCACTGGACGAAAACATAACATGACCTTCATAAAAACTGATATAACAATGCTGCCGTATGGCCTCGCAATGCAGATTTAAATCACCTTAACGTGATTTTAGAGTTCTTATTTTCTCAGTTCACATTTGGAATCATTGAACGTCATGTAAGTGTATTGTCAAAGTACACAGTACGCATTTTTCACGAGCCCATAAATTACAACATCAGTCATTCCGCAAACACTCGGCGATAAGGCAGCATTTGTCACAGGTCATGCATTTAAACGACCAGATCTAGGCAGGTTCTGCAGTTCGAACAGAATAATAGCACTTACCGATCCCCGATAAAACGATAGCCCTAGGCGGTAGCCTCACTGCCAACCAATCGTGCTGGCAGTGATACAAATAGCCTTGCCGTTGAAAATTGAAAACATCAACGATGCTGGCGTCGCCTAGTAGCCGTGTATCACCGGTGGTGGCGCCGTCTGGCAGCCCAACGTCACCGGTGGTGGCGCCGCTTAGTAGCCGTGTATCACCGGTGGTGGCGCCGTCTAGCAACCAAACGTCACCGGTGGTGGCGCCGCCTAGTAGCCATGTATCACCGGTGGTGGCGCCGCCTAGTATCCGTACGAAGCTCTGGGCTCAGGTCCCGAGGCGGCACCACTGAGCTCTGGCTCCTCGTACTGAAAAGTGTGGCACGTGTCAGACGTCTCTAGCTGAACCGGATCTTTGGAGCGGTATTACAGAGCAGAGTCTATGACCTGCCTTCCGAGCCTGCCAACCCTGGCACAGCCACACTCAATGGCAACCAAGCACGGTGCTACCTTTCTTTCCGCAGGATGCCCCAATTACCAACAGCTGCAATCTATTACTCCAACTGCACGCCTCGTTTTTCGGGCCAGTTACAGTCATTTAGTCAGAGAAACCACATAACTGTAGACCCATTTATACCTATATATATATATATATATATATATATATATATATATATTTATACCTATATATATAACATGTATACATACATATATATATATATATAATTATATATATATATATATATATATATATATATATATATATATATATATATGTGTGTGTATATGTATACATCAACCAATTTTACCTCAAACTCAAGCTTCATCTTGACCGGTGCAATTGCTCGCTCGCACCCACCAAGATGTGTATCTATGCAGATGTATCGGTAGTGATATGTAGGCAAAATCCACGCAGATACTAGGCCAAACTAATCACAGGATCAGTGCTGTCATACCCGAGACCTCGTCGAGCACATATGACCTCGGGTTTTAAGAGGCCAAACGGCGTGCGACCATATGCATTGGGCCGAAAAGAGAGCAGTTGATCTACGTGCTCTCATGGGTGCCAAGATTTAGAAGTGGCTCTATGACTGCATGTTAATAAATTCGCAGACATCGCGCTTAAGGCCGGTGTGTATAATTTTCAGCTTCAGTTAGAATTGAAGTCGTGCTGGGTAAAACAAAGAATGTACAGTTTTAGAAAGCCCAGTACATGTACATATAGACGTAGGTACACATTCAAGCGCGAGTTGTACCCCCTGATGTTACACAGGAAGAAAAACACATGCGCAGCAACATTACCTGGATGTCGACAACGAAGCCGGAGTCTCCGTCCACGGAGTAGTTGACAATCTGCATCCTGCCGTCCGGCATCAGCACGTAATAGGAGCCCGAGGTGCTGTCACCGTCTCGGGTCTCCTGCTGACCGAAGTCGTTGCCGCTCTCCTCGTCCTTCACGGCGTACTCAAAGTTGTATGCCGCCGGCTCCTGTGGAAAAGAACTCTAGCATGAGCAGAAAAGCATCGCTCACACAATTTAAAGTTGTCAATCTCAGCATATAGCTTGATCTCTTGATTATTGTGTGATTTGATGCGATAATATAACACCATTAGTTGTATCGATGTGTGTGCGCGCGTTACTCAACGGTCTTGTATTTTTAACTCTGAATGGCTTTTCTTCAACTAAGTGTCCTCACAACATACTTCCCATGCATTACCTCAGCAATGTTAGGCTCCGGTCCCGAAGCGGCACCAGCGGGAGCTCCATAGCTGGACCGGACACTGGGATCTGGTCCCGAAGCCGCAGCGGGAGCTCCATAGCCGGACCGGACACTGGGATCCGGTCCCGAAGCCGCAGCGGGAGCTCCATAGCCGGACCTGACACTGGGATCTGGTCCCGAAGCCGCAGCGGGAGCTCCATAGCCGGATCTGACACTGGGATCCGGTCCCGAAGCCGCAGCGGGAGCTCCATGGCCGGACCGGACACTGGGAGCCGGTCCCGAAGCCGCAGCGGGAGCCCCATAGCCGGATCGGACACTGGGATCCGGTCCCGAAGCCGCAGCGGGAGCTCCATAGCCTGATCGGACACTGGGATCCGGTCCCGAAGCCGCAGCGGGAGCTCCATAGCCGGACCGGACACTGGGATCCGGTCCCGAAGCCGCAGCGGGAGCTCCATAGCCGGACCGGACACTGGGATCCGGTCCCGAAGCCGCAGCGGGAGCTCCATAGCCGGATCGGACACTGGGCTTTGGTCTCGAAGCCGCAGCAGGAGCTCCATAGCCCCTTGATCTTGAGACACTGTGTGCGACCGTTGCCGCAGCGGCGGATACAGGGGGAGGAACACCGGAGAACCCGCTGAAGCCGCCACGGTTTTCAGGCCTAGCAATGGCAAGGCCAGTAGCAACAAGGACTAACAGAACCTGAAAGGGGGAAAGGTAAACAATCGCACGCCTATACCGAAAAGTGCGCTCTCCAAAACAACACATGGACATAAGCCACGAGCGGGAAACAATGACGTGGGGATTTTGGCTATAACAATTTCAAATCGACGTTAAGTTAAGCTTCCCCTGCTCTGTTCTCAAGACGCGTCGGAGCCCGCATCACACCTGCATACTTCGTACTATAGCTTCCGTTCCCCGTCGTTCGCCACTGCCGTTACCTTCATGCTGGTGTTTGTCGCGCCGCACTGAAAGGACTCTGCAGCAGATGGTCCGATTGAAGTCTGATGGTGCCCGCTGCTCCGCCAACCGCTTTTATCCAGCGCTAGCCGGCGGAGATGGCGCGCTGGTCGGCAGGCCAGGGTCACGGGCCCGGCCAGAGGGCGAGCGCCCTGCTAGTTTATCGAGTTGACACAGAGAAACATCGGCCACGGCCGGCGGGGCTGGGTGGCTGCCGGGAGGCCGGGGTAATGACTGCCCCACTAAGTGGCTGCCGGGAGGCCGGGGTAATGACCGCCCCACTGATTGGTCCTGCTCTGCTATCTCGCTGTGGACGGGGTGCATCGGAGAGTTTACGGTGTGGATGGTGATTGTAAACACACTAATTCATTCGCTAGGCTTGCGCTGGTCGCATGACGTCACACCAGCTCTGGTATGACAGCAGTCGTCAGTGACCTAGACCCTGCATCTGCCACTGTAAAACTGATGTTTGCTGGTTTTAGATGTTTTTGCGTTCACCATTTTCAAACCGTACGCTGCTTTACCGAGGCATACCGACATGAATTTCCTTAAATTTCATCACGTAACGTCATTTCCTCTCAAAATAGCAAAACTTACACAATTTGGTCGAGGCCTGCCGAAACAGCAATCTTTCAGTAATGCGTCAAAGCTACCAATAACACTGCCTATTTTGTGCCCAGTTTGTGTTTGCAGAAAGCATTTGTATAGGTAGGTCATGACCTGGAACAAGGTAACGCGCTCTGTGGTCATATGATCGCTGTGCATTTGAGCTATTACTCTTTTACTCATATGCAAACACCAAAACTGCGCGAAATGTGTACAAATTTACATTATTTGCAAAAAATAGGAAACATTTATCTGGTCTCAGGTCCATGACATCACTTGATTGGACAAATCTGAAAAACCCAGCAGTAGGTACCATCAAGTTTCATTAATACAGTAAGTTTGAACAATGCCAAACGGCCCACAAAAAAGTTTCTAATGTTCAAAGTTGTTTAGTGGCTGAACTCTTTGACTTGACCGAGGTCACTGATCATGGCTGATGAATGTCTCAAATATGCACAAAGGAAAAACTTAAATGTGGCGGCGCAGGTTCGCTTTTAACCTCGAAAAAACCGTACAAGGGAAGTCCACTCTTCTCGGGCCGAGCGCGGGTTAACGGGAACGTTCCACATTTTAAGATATGGAAGCAAGCATCAGATAATATGAAATGAGCTCACGTATAACTATTTGTACAATTTGAAGTGGAACAGGCTGTTCTAGACAGCACAATGCCTGTTTTTGGCGAATATGCTCCTTGTTACGTCATGGTCTCATTGCGTCATCGTGGTTTGCATAACATTGAGATTTAATTGACGGTCGCTTTATATAAAAATTGAGCCCACGAACGCCAAATTTGAGCGAATCGACATTCATATTTTTCTTGGCCTTGATCGTTGCATGATAAATGTAGTAGCAGGATTTGAATGACGCTATCATGGCGTCACAGATGCCTGGGCGACTTTGAAATGGTTTCCATGGAATATTTCGTCAGTTTGAGATAAAATAAAATCCAGCTTCAAGTTCAGTTCAACTGAAATTGGAAGGGCATGGCTGTGAACTGCACCCAATGATCTTCAAGATGGCTATTTCAGTTCAAAACTCCGGGCAAATGTGGAACACTCCCCTTAACCGAGTCGTACGTCATAGATATATGCTCAAAACACAAAAATATAAGGCCTTGTGCTCAGAACTTAACAAGGAAGAGTCTGTTTAAGTTTTGGGTCCTCTCAGGGTATAGACTCGTATGTATGGTGTTGTAATGCTGAAAAACGCAATTTTCTGGAACATTTGACCTTTGACCTGCCGCAGTGGGGTCAAATACTGACCTAACATGAAGACTAGTATCAATCGCAAGATTTCGCTCAGACCAATGCATTGGTGTTTTCTGCTAAACACTATATTTATTATTTTGGAAATGCCAGAGGGCGCATAACCCCCCCTCCCCATTACCAGTCCGCGTTATGAAAATGGGAATTAAGGCAGCGGTTGATACCCGGAGGTAAGTCTTATCTAATGATCATTATTGAGCCAGTGAACACAAAATGTTCAGATGATAGCATACACCTCGATTACGGACTCAATGAATCTCAGCTTACCATATGGGCTAGCAATGGGGTACTTCATATCGTGTTTTCTTGGCTGGACAATCATCCACCCTTGGTGTCATTTTGTATCTAAGAAGCCAAGGAATAGTTTTTAGTGCATCCAAACGTCGGGATGGGTGGGTTGGGGCCAGGAACTCTTATAGGATGCTTTGGAACGTTACATGTAAATTGTGGGTTGGATCGAGGAAAAGGTAATCTGGTGTGTAACTCCAGGTCGCTCAGACTCCTTTACCTTGGTATCTTGGCCGTGCGCCACGCATGCGCCAGCCCGGTGGCCCGCCCTTTTTCTTGGCTCACCTCTTCACCGAGAGTCGGCGACTGCTGTGGAAATAAACGTTATTCAGATTCGCTCAGTCGGCCTTTCGACCCACATCTCAAGCTCCGATTCTCCGCCACTACATTTGGTCGCGGCGGATAACTGGGGTCGTTTTATCTCCGTTACGAACTATTTTTTCAGCGAACTTGGCAACATTATCAAGCGCAAGCTGAGGGTGGCGATGGTTTGATGTGCCACTTGTGGCACCCAGACGCAGTGATGAGCGTGTGCGAAACACGCGGACGCCGCCCGACAAAATCATAAAATTGAACAAATCATAGCGTTAACAAATTTGCATACGGCGCGACGGTAAATCAAAACAGGTCTTGTGGTGAGGACGAATAAACCATAAATTAGGTTCTGCGATGCAGGTAGCAAACATGCCATATTTAAAATCTTGTCCATGCAGAACGTGCAAAATATGCTGGAACAATAGGTCGAGCTTGGAACGTGAACAGAACTAACTGAAATAGTCCCGTTAGGAGTGGCAAAAATAAACGGAAGAGAAGGCTCCGCAGAATGAAAAGAGGTTGATAAAGCAAACTGGGGAGAACTTTCATCAACCATGCGAAGAAATTTTAGGCCATCTTTTCTGGCAATGAATGTGCCGATGCTTTTGAAGAGAACACAACATTGTGGAATTGAATAGTGACAAAAGAATTCGTGAGCTCAGTCGTATCAACGTTTAGCACTTTCCTAGCAGTTGGTGAAGGAATGGATGGCTCTTGATATATGCATGCTTTGAATGAAACAGGCATACGGTCTTCGAATACAAATCCAGCCGAAACGTAAAGATGCAAATCAATATGCACGTGACGGGAAAGACAAAAACAAGGGGACTATGAGTCACATGAGCAAGTGTCACAAAACCTCGCGTACACATTTCGTCGCTTATATACCTCGCCGTCGCTTATAAACCTCGTCTCCTGTACACGGCTGGGTAGACGGACAGTCAATTTTAGACGGAGGGATGTAGACGAACAATCAAATTGCTCGGGTACAGCCACATTTAGTATCGCTCTCGAAGAGATGCCAAAATATTTTTTGATATAATATCAGAAAGTTGATATAGCTAGTTTTCAAATTGGGCGCGCGTCATCCAGATGACACCAGAGCAGAGCATTCCGAGCAAAGCACACACAGAGCGTCACGTTGGCAGGAGGTCGGGCATAAGTTGTAAGGAGTTCCAGCAATTGGAGGGTAAAAATTACGCACATGACAGGCTTCAGTGCCACTTTGGAAATAGGACAGACCAAAAAGTATAAAACTGAGTATGGATAAGTTATGAGTACCAAGACATAGAAGGAAACATTATCCGCGGGAACTACATGTGGGGTGTCCGGCGACGTTTTCACCTGGGAAAGAAAATATGGATATAGCGTGAACATCCAGGTGTAAAGCAATTGAGTCAACAAATACAGAAAAATAAGACGTGCGTGTTGTAAAGGGTGCAGACCTTATAACATAAAGTAACTATGTACTTTTATTTTTTGTAGAAACATTGACATGCGGAATTCTGGTGATTCATGTATATATATATATATATATATATATATGTACATATACATGATATGTATATACATGCATGTATATACGCATATATATATAAATAAATCTCATGAAACATTGCAATATTTTCAATGGAGAGCCGCGGTCAATCCGCGCTATACCTTGGCACCTTCATGGGCAATCTGATGCACCATGGCATCTGCAGGAATGAGAAACGCTTAGTCCTTGTTCATGAGCCGAAACGGCGTGGCTTCCGCAGAAGTTCTTGCGGTCGAAGATGCTACCCCGGTTGATCAGGCCGGGGACCGACGGGATGGTCTGGGGCCGGAGCTGGCCACATTTCTTCAAGCAAGGCAAGAGTGCCTTCTTGCATGTAATCTACGTCAGGATGAGCACCTCTCAACCTCCATGGCTCAGCCGGCAGCGTAATGGCCTTTTCAGCACCAGCAGAGCAGCGACCATGGTTGTCAACAAAGGGCATTTCTAGCTAATCGTTCAATGTGATGCAGCAACGGGGGGTGTGAGACGAGGCCATTAACATTTGAGATAGCTTTTTAAACAATGAACCTATTGAATTCAGCATTGCATCAATTTTATCGACCTAGGGTCAGGTATGAAGGTCAGAAGGAGGCCAAAACTAAGCTGATTTTTTACTCGAGAGCTTGTTTTTATCAGGTAGTTTCTGGTGTTCATTTCAAGTTCGTTGATGACAGGACCGCAGAAGACATGTTTCATGGACTTCTTAAAGTTTTGAGTAGGTCACTGACCTAAAGTGACCTTGGTCAACATTTTGTTTTTAGGAACATGTCACCTAGCACAATTCCTGATGCTTATTAGAAGGACAAAATAGCAGCAATCTTGTGGGGAATTAACCACCTTGACCTTTTAAAGGTCAAAAAAGGTCACTAACCTGATCTGCTTTTTGATTAGCCCAGGCATCTAGCTTCACGACGGTTGCATGGGGAGGTCAGGCTGCACTCGAGACAGCAATCTGGAGTTTGACCTTGTTTGACGTCATCTGACCCAAAGGTCATAACCTATGAACCCAAATTTGGAAATAACTGATTTCTCGCATAGGTCAATCTACCCTGGTAATTTGGCATCTCTAGCGATCTTAGTTTTTAAGATCTCGGGTGGGTCAAATTTATTCCCGCCCGAGAGAAGGGTATTCAACCGGCCATCCGGGCGTGTGTTTATCGTGCATTGCAAATGGCCTTTTCTGGTCTCCAAGGCAGTAATGCATGCCTACATGTTGATATCTTGATTGCAAGTCGAAATTACAAGGAACATTTGGAAAAGCTGAATCGGGTTCTAACACGTTGAGAAAGACTCGATCTGTTTTAGATCCATCAAAGTGTTGTTTCCTGCAACAGCAGATCCGTCGACTTTCAATCGACCTACTTCCGTGAGAGGTTAATTGTGGTGTTTAGCTCCAGGTCACTCAGATTTCTTCTTTTCTAGGTGTCAAAGACATGAGCGTGGTGCGGTGCCGGCTGAGCGGTACCTTGGCTGTGCGCCACGCATGCGCCAGCCCGGTGGCCCGTCCCTTTTTCATGGCTCGCCTCTTCACCGAGAATCGGCGACTGCTGTGGAAATAACTGCTTTTCATACTCCTTCAACCGGCCTTCCGACCCACACCTCGGGCTCCGATTCTCCGTTACAACAGTAGCCACCTAATCCCCACTTCCCCCACCCCCAACCCTGACCTGCAAAATCCCGACTGCGAGTTTGATTGGTGAAAGGAAGTGTCATAACTTTTGAACATATTTCAAAAAACAAATACTCTGGGAAACCTCGAAATGAGATGCGTCTGATACTAGCAGAGTATTGGCACCGCAGCACCAAGACATAGGAAAAAGCGCTTCAAGACATTTCCATACCCTTGTGGATACCCGAGCTGTAGCTTCAGAAGTCAATGGAGGACATTGCAGCGACGCATGTCAAAGTTTCATCTGGAGCTCCCTGCTGCTGGGTGGAGCAGCGGCTTTCACGTAAACTGTTGATTGCGGAGCATCGCTGTTGTAGGCCTTCCACACTGCTGGTCGCACCTCAGACTGGGCGTTCTGACCGGCGACCAGGCACTTGGATAAGGCGCTTTTCCATTTATTGTACTATGTATAGTGCCAAATCAAGGCAATAAAGGTGTTCACGTACGCATTGGGCATTTGGCTTCATACTAAGCATGAGTTCTGCGCCGTCAATGATTAGGCGAAGATAGCAAAGGTCGGTAACGCTTCCAGCTAATTGTACAATGTTGTTACAAAACAAAAGATGATATTTTTCAGATGCTTGTAGGCTGATGTCATCGGTAAATGTATGGCCACAGGGATGCAGTTTTCAAAATAAGTAAGGTTGAGGGAGGGGAGGTGGTGCAGGAAGAAAAATGGCTGAGCCAGCATGCAAAACGCACTTCAAACAGATTTCTCCCCAGATTTGACGCACGTTCTTTTCAGAGCTGGGAGCAAGGGCGTAGTGTCTGAAAAAAATGGGGGGGGGGGCTGAAACCTAAAAATGATGGTAAATAAAAATAGTCAACAAAAATGATAGATACAACTGGAAAACTACACTCCTGGTTATGAGGTACAATCTCCCCCCTACTGCATAGGAAACTACGCTCCTGTAGGCTGATTATGTTACGTATACCTTCGTCTGATAATTTTATTAGTTTAGTCTAAACCACCATTCAGTGTTTGATGGCCAAAAAACGATACGTGCAAATGAACTACCGAAACAAAAATGCTGGATAGTTATGCCGCATCGTATTTCATCGGCCTTTGTTTTTATGGTTTATCGCGTTTTTAACTATGTTATAACGGTTTCTGATAGATTTGGCTCTAGGTAACAGTTTGGACGGCTCCAAATCTCGTCGGTGACGGGAAAGGCGCTTTTCACCCCCGCCCGCGCCTTGCATGACTACATATTACGAGCTGAGTAATCGAGAGAGATCAACACGACCACCTCCACCAAGGAGGGTGCTCTCATCAGGGCATTTGCCTCGCTGATGCGAAACCTATGGGACAGCCCAGATGAGGCTGACCGGGCGCTGACTACCTCACTATTAAGGAAACAATTCCGTCGTTTTACGGCCCGATTCACGGGCAGTCAGCAGCAGGACACACAAGAGCTTCCCATATACTTGCTGGAGACTTTCCGAGGGCGTGAACCATTTTGACAACCAGCTCGATCTCCCCCCCCCCCCTAAGCACACACACGACAGATTCAGTGCTAGCCAGAAACCGCTGGAGGCCTGGAAGCGGCTCTTGTTTCTGAAGAACTCGAAGTGCGTTGATCTGTTTGTCGGACAGTTCAAGTCCACGCTGCGGTGCACGGTGCACGGCCACGCTTTAGAGACGTTTGACTTCCTCTGGGACCTGAGCCTGCCGATCCCATCCATGTTGGGTGAGGTGCGCTAGCTCGACCGCTCTGACAATTTTAACCGAGGAAGAGGTACTCCACGGAGAAGAAAGTCCGAGGGCTTCATGTGCCAGACGTCCCAAAAGTATTCCAAAAACTTCAAGATTCAGAGCTTCCTACGCATGCTTGTAATGCACATAAAATGGTTCTTACTGCAGCTGGGTCAGAACGGACACAAGCTCCACACGACAGCGGACTTCGCCCGTGGTCTGGACCTGTCGTCATACTTTGCCGTATCGGGAGACTGGATGTACGAGCTGTACAGCGCGATACTGCACGCTGGCGTGGTGCACACGGGCCACTACACGGCCCACTGTAAACAGCGCTATTTGGAGTCCGGTACGAGTACTACGAGTCCAGCCCATCCGCAAGCACCGCGCCCGCAATGCGAAGCGGACATGCTCCTTTTGAGTTGGCCAGTCATTCGCCTGGTGCCGACCTGAATGCTTGTACTCGAAGGAGTTCGACATGGCTGTCACACATAGAAGAAGCTTGCAAAATAAGCACATATTGTTGCATGCGTCATACCTAATACGCACTTCTGTCTGGCTCAAAAAATACAGATTTGTGATAAGCGAATGCAATAGCTTGGTACGTTTGATAATATGGTAAACCATGTATTCGAATTTGTGATGTAGAACGCTGTTCTTCAACCGTTTGTTGATTTGCTTTATTACTGTTTGGAAACCACTGAGTTGGGTTCAATATTGTTATATTATAAATACATTATGACGCATACGGACATACATGTTAGGGAGACGGTACACAAACGCAAATTTACGCATAAATACACATAGCATTCACAAGAAAAACGCAGAGCCTTGGTGCAAGATTTACGAACACCAGAGAATGCGTTCTGACGAGGTGTTCCTCGCGTTGGACGTGATCAACTCACGAAATTCGCGACAAAAAACGCTGCAGTTATCCTGCGGCCCTGGTCGACAAAATCGGATTCAAGTCGTGCTTAAAGAGCGTTGCAAATTACTTGCTGATGAACATGACTCTGAGCGCACCCGCCATGAAAGACAGACTTGTGCTCTGACAACAGTCGGGCGGATGACACAGGTCGTGGCTTGGTTGCATCGGCGCAGCTTAATAGCGATGGCCGCGTCATCTGGCGACCTCAGAGTAGCGCCACCTACTCAGCCTTCGAACCGCCGTTTTGTTCAGTAGCCATACGACTGCTTGGGCGGAGCGACGTTCCCTTCGGGTCCGGACGCGGCTCCGGCGAGGTTAGCCTCTCCTTCGTACTGAAAACACATAAAACACATGATACATGGCGCTCTCTTGCAAATGCGGTTAGAAGGGAATTGCACATGGGCATATGCTCTGCATGCAATGCATCTGTTACGCGGCAAATAGGCTGCTTCCGCAAAATATTCATCAAGACTAACACCAACTTGTTACCATTGTATTTCTGAAGTGTTTTTGTGGTTTCTGCACTTGTTATTTGTTTGAATTAAATTCAAAAACTGATATATGCGAAGCACTTGGAAAATATATCAACCTGGATATCAACGACGAAGCCGGAGTCTCCGTCCACGGAGTAGTTGACGATCTGCATCCTGCCGTCCGGCATCAGCACGTAATAGGAGCCCGAGGTGCTGTCACCGTCTCGGGTCTCCTGCTGACCGAAGTCGTTGCCGCTCTCCTCGTCTTTTACGGTGTATTCGAAGTTATACGCCGCCGGCTCCTGGGAAAAACTTGGCATGAACGGAAGATTTCACAGAAGACGGTTCACACAATTTGCAGCTGCCAGTCGGATCACATAGCCTTTCCCCTTGATTTTTGTGTAAGTTGATGCCATAATCGAGCGCCAGTTGTTGCACTGATGTGCTTCCGTGTCTTAACCGACACCCTTGCATTATCAATCATGAAATGACCCTTCTGCAACTGAAAGTCCTCACATTACCATTCTGGTGTCTTACCTCTGCGATGCTAGGTTCCGGTCCCGAGGCGGCACCAGCAGGAGCTCCATATCCAGACTGAACACTGGGCTCTGGTCCCGAAGCCGCAGCGGGAGCTTCATATCCAGGCTGAACGCTGGGTTCGGGTCCCGAAGCGGCACCAGCAGGAGCTCCATATCCAGACTGAACACTGGGCTCCGGTCCTGATGCTGCAGCAGGTGCTCCATAGCCCCTTGACCTTGAGACACTGCGTGCTGCCTCTGTGGCTGCGGCGGATACAGGGGGAGGAACACCGGAGAACCCGCTGAAGCCGCCACGGTTTTCAGGCCTGGCGATGGCGAGGCCAACGGCAACAAGGACTAGCAGAACCTGAAAAGATGTAAAATGACGTGATTGCGGATTTCTGAGCACATTCCCTCAATCATTGCACTCTTGTTAGTCTCCAGAAAGAAGCGGGAAGCTGCCGAACAGTTTAACGATGAGAGTGCGTCCGAGCAGTTTAACGTTGAACGTGTGGACCCGCAGTCTGTTAACCTGACCTTGCCTGTGCGGAAACTGTATCGTCTATTGGCAAACTGGGGCGGCGATGAAAGAAATACGGCAAACAGTTCTGACGAGGGCTCGTGCGGGTAACGGATATATAGCGAGTAGGTGCTTCTTGGCAAAGTCCGAAGCCAGAAACTCAAGCTTGTCTTAAAGGCATCAGGCACTGTTCTGCAAAGCGACGATTGCAGCTGAGAAAACGCATCATATCACCCATCTGAATTGTCGTATACGCAAAAGCTTGTCACACATCTGAGCAAAGTCGGTGATAGTGCTGAATCTCCACAGCCTTCCGTCCCCTGCGCCACGTCCCGTCGCTGCCGTTACCTTCATGTTGGTTTCCTGCAGCACCGTACTGGGGGGATCTGCAGCGGACGAAACGGTGGAGCTTCTGGTGATGACCGCTCGCGCTGGCCGCTTTTATGTGGTGCCGACCGGCCCAGATGGCGCGCGGTTCGGCGGGCCGGCGTAACAGGCACAGTCGGCAGAAGAGGGCACGAGTCCAGCTGCATCACATACACCTGGAAGCCCTACGGTCCAGACTCTTGACCTATATGTAAGTGTGCGAGGTACCAAGCTTTCAAGCAGTCTCACAGGCGATCCAAATGTCTGCTTGATTTTTGCACGTCTGTTTAAAAGTTCAAATTTTCTGAGTTTGCATCATGAACGGTCTGGCTTTTGGTGAATGCGCCACATCGGACTGCGTAGCATATTCTTGTGTTTGAGCCCTCATGTCAGAATGGCGGGTTCCAAGTTATAATGACATCTTGGCACGTGCACACTCTCTGGTCTGTCACGTGCACAGTCTGGATGACCACATATTGTTGTTGATGAAAGGGCGCGCCTTTTGAGAACTCGAGCAGCACCGTTTGCCGCAGCACATACATTGCATTGGAACTCATATCGACATCTGCCATCAGGGAGTTGCGATTCTGCGCAGACGTAATGCGCTATTTGCCAACAACTTACATTCCGTCGTTTACTTTAGGTGTACTGTACGAATAATGTTCTATACAAAGTCCTTTTATAGGGTACAGTATAAAAAGTGTAAAGAAGGGCGTTATCAGTGATGTTTAAAGTTGCCTAGGCAAGCGTTTGTGTCGTTTCGATAGAAAACAGCTACGTTGGCCAAGCAGTAGATGCGAATGAGTTCACATCAAATAAAAAGCAAATAATTATAACGGGCAATACGGTACTTTCAAATGAAATTCTATGAATGCTGGGGGTGTTAATAATAATAAAACTGTTTGGATGCGCTCCAACAGGTTTCTAGAATTTATTTTAACTATGTCATGATTCGGTGAAATTGTGTATTATACGGGTGCGTCTAAGTGAATTGCTTTGTCAGTGTATTTCCGGCTGCATATGTGCACGCGTCATAGGATGAGCGCGGCAGCTGTTTTTTTTTTTTGCACATCATGGACAACTATAGCGATCTATATAAATGTGAATTTAGGGGCTTATCGTATAATTAAATCAATCTGAATGTCATACGGACTGGTGAGGAAGTGCATCTGTCGTATATGCTGCAAAACATTTGGCGTGTGTTTCCCAAGGATATCGGGGTGCCGCCAACTTACTTCCAAGATGTCGTGTGGTACATGTTATGTCAGTGATGCAATGTACAGACCATATGTCATTGACCGACTTTTTGTCAATGATCGAATAGCATGACTGTCATGACTTGCTGTCATCCAGAAAACAAGTCGACAGTTACATTATCCATGCCGACCCATAACTGTCGTTAACAAACACTGATTGACAATTAGGGTAGAGAGGTGTTATGTCGCAAATCACGACGAATTACAAAAAGCACAGACAAGCACATTTCATACGCCGCAATGCGTCCAACTTGTTTGCGATGCAACTTCCTCCATGACAAAAATAACATAAGCACAACTTTTCACACCATGTCATACAATTTACCCCAGGGTGGGGTAAGTAGCCCCATTTGAAAGAGGTCATTAAGAAGTCAGTTGCCAAGGAGCGAGGACGTGCTCTCCAAACTTTACCACAACATGCGATCGTGGTAGCGGTAGTGGGCAGTGGTAGTTATAGCAGGAGAGGGCTGAAAGTAAAAACTGATGCAACTCTCTCTCTCTACTCTCCCCCATGTGTAGAAACATGACATATAGCTTGACACACTTTTGAACAAAATGAGTGATACCTAGTAGTCAACATCGGTCTAAATAAGTCAGTAATGGTTATCTCAGTAACACAAAAGTCGGTAATACCTAAGTCAACGCAACGATGACCAATTCAGTCAACGATGTCCTGGGCTGACGCGCTTGCTGATGATGGCTTTGATCGCCTGCTGCTCACTCCGAGCCGGTATATGGGCGCTTCAGTTCCCGCAGAATCCTCGAGTTCTTTTAACGCCTTGAAGTACGTTTTGATTTCCCGGAACGAAACAGGTGCCAGGATCTCAAATGACCTGTATGCGAATTGTCAAACTTAGCCCCGGTCACCGGAGATAGTGCTGCCAAAATTTGGGTGTACACCCAGGATCACGTGAGGTCCTCTCATGAAATATAAAAGCAGCTTGCTTCTACATACCAAATATCTTTTGACGGCACGTCAAAAGGCTTCCAATATCCTATGTCAATTCCCTATTTCCAGTTGCCCTATCAGTTCTTTGGTCGCTGGGAAATTTATGCTTTGGTACGTACACGCATTGCAAGCCCACCATAAGACAGGCAGTTGATGTGTCACTTAAGATTAGCGTGTAAAAACCAGCTAACAGAAACAGCGTTTGGATTCAAACAAAAGCACTACTCTACGCGCAAACAACGCTGGACAAATGCCGTCGGCCGCGCGCAGCGTTACAAATTTCCAGGCTGCACCCCCACCGACCATGTTCTTATTCGAACATGCTGTCATGCCTCAGATGATAAAGATCATGAACGTCGGAAAACTGGGGTACATTATGATACTTAAATCATTGAATGACATCAATGTCCGTAGGTATTTGAACACTAGGGCCTGCAGCTGTGAATGAAAGGGGGAAACGTAGCCTCTCTGTAAAGTGAACCACTGTGTCCGAATTAAAACAAGCATTATTTGCACTTTCTGCTGTCAGTTTTACCATCTAGGCGATCGAATGAATATTACATAATTTCAGTGACCCATGCTTCTGATCCGTCCCGCTTCCTTGTTGTCGCACCCGGGATTATTCATGGGGTGGCTATCTCTGAGCGTCCCGAATCCCGCTGCCCATTTCGAGAACGTTCGGCCGACGCTGTGGCTTTTTGTCCTCGCAAGAGTTCCTCGAATTTTACATTTTTAGGGCTACATTTCATTTCGAGGGCAGAATTTCAGAGACAGCGTGTCACTTCACTGTTTCGGGTTTTCCCTGAGTTTCTCCGGCGCCTGGCTATTTGCGCCGTCGACAGCACCTGGATCTTTGTAACGATATTGTAGCCCTTTGTCTGTGTTGGGCCCTGTTGTATCCAACTACCCCATCCAGCATCCTCTCGGGACGTCTTGCCAGTATCAGCACCCGTGGTCGTCTCGGACCAATATACTTCCATTAAGACCACATCTAATCAACCCTTTGACCATTTTTGGGCTATTGCGCGTCTTTGTACTACTTAGTCGCTTTGAAGCCCTGGATGCCTGTAAGTCCCTTGGCTGATGTTTGGACCATCCTTGACATCGTACCATCTGTGACCGTGTATACAGCGGTTTTTGTTTATCTGCCCTTCTAACGCCACTGTGCCGTTTTGCGACCCATGGCTCTCTCTGACCCGTCGGCTATCTGAATAGGCTTGGACGCCTTGAGTAACGTTGGTTATCATGTGGTCATGACCACCTCAGCAGATTGGCTCCGACCATGCAACATGCGGAGGTTGTACGCTCCACGGCCTAGTGCGTGCTCAGGATCTTCGACTGCTTGACTATTCCTTGGTTCTTGTCTTCGAGCCCTTTGACAGCCCACAAACTTAATTATTCGTATTGACTAAAGCGCCGAGGCCTCATGAGATTTTCAAAGCCCTTAACTTTCTTTCTCCCGACCCTGGTCCACTAGGTGAAATCATCCTTTCGTCATCTATAGAACGCCTGGGCTATATCGACACGACGCCCTTTGCAATCCTTCCGTCATTTGGACGCCCAGGTTTTCTGGGACTCATTGGCCATCCCGGGGCTTCTAAACCGTGAGGAATATAGGTCGATATAGGCATATATATGAAGCGACCTTGATTATTTCAATGCACTGGACATCTCAAAGGCCTTGGATCTGAGTTTCCTCGACTATATGTGTGCTTCGTGCTTTGTCAAGACCTTCCCCGTAGTTCGAGATCTTCCACGCCCTTAAGATCTTCCACTTCCTTATTGTTTTGGGGCCCTAGGGTGTCTGGTAATTGTAAACTGTCCTGATTTTCATCATCTCCTAGTTGAAAACTATGTCGGTATATTTGATGCAGAATCACACTTGGTAGCCTTTTCACCCGGGCATTATTCTACAAGAACACTATTTTGTATTAAATCTGAGCTGCGGGGACATAGGATGAACAGCGGTGTAATTCATTGCTGTCAGATCTATTAAAATAGCC